TTAGGATTATGACATTGAGCAGTTTGAGAACTTTTTGCATATTTCTATGAGTTTATTTTCCGTCAAGAGTTAGAACTTTAAAAAAGAAAGAGTTATTATGAGTAACGATCAAAGAAAAATGAATTTTTACGTTTCAGAAAAAGTTTTAAATTTTCTGAAAAGTATAATAAGTATTTTCCTAAATCATAAATGGGTGTTACAATCACAAAAATAAGTAGTTGAGTAATATATTAAATTATAGATAATTGACTATTTTATTTACGTCTAAGTTAATATGGACCCGCAAATTTTGAATAATTATTTTTTTGTTTTATATAAATAAAAATCTATTTATTTTTCTTCAATATATTATATAACAAATTTAAACCATGCAACTAAAAAAGGTAATAGTTACAAGTTTTGTCAATATAGTATATTTTAAATTAAAATCATGCAACTAATAAAGGTAATAGCCGTAATATTTTACCAAAATGATTATATACATTAATTACCTTAATTTAGGTGAGATTGTTCAAATTTTGGCCAAAAAATATTATTCATTATAGCAAACACTTTAGGTGGGAAATCAATTTTTTTTTTTTTTTTGTTGATTTTTAGTTTCTATTTCAAGTATATATCATTAACTTTTTACATATTAATAGATGGATAATAAAAATTTAATTCATTATTACACCATAAAATAATCATTTTAAAGCTTTTCCAAGAATTTTGGATAAAATTACATAAAATAAATTTGTAAAAATTATTATAAAAATTATTTCTCAATTTAAATGTAAATACAAAAGAATATCACAATCAAATATTGTTAATGCTTGAAATTTGATCAACGTAGGACATTCAGAAAATTGTTTGTGTATTGAATTGTAGTGAATTTCTGTATGTTTTTGGTGATTTTTTGTTTTGTGAGAGAAATATAAGGATAAGGAGGGGAATAGTATCAGGGAGCGAGAAAAACTCCCTGTTTAGGCACCGCCTTCAAAAAAGAGAGAAGAAGGAGTAAGCCCCTCAGTCTTATTTGCATCTGTCCATCATCGGGACTATATATAAATGTTTTTTGTCGGCCTAATAATATTGTAAACGGTGTCATTTTTGGACTTTAACGATAAGATAAAATAGAACAATTTATTTAATACATATCTACGTGTAATATCTTAATAGGCGAGGCCAAAATTGGGTATCAATAAATATAATGACATAATTTTGCATAAGGTTAGAAAATAATACATTTTTACGTAAATTCTAAATTATTAATTTTTTGAATCTAGAATACTTAAAAAATTAATAAACGTGAGACATCGCTCTATAAATATATATAATCGCACTACAATAAAATTTGTTTTATTTTATATTTTAAAATAAATCAAATATATGAAGTTGTAAATAATATCAATTTTTGTACATATATATTTTTAAAAGTATACTTAAAAATATTCTTTTGGAAAATTTAGTGTAAAAATTCAGGCACTATTTGAATTAATTATCAATTTGTTAGTTATTTATTATTGTTGCATATTTCTCATACATAATTTCACAATTAAAATGTAAATTATTTTATTTTTTATTGTACAAATATTAACATATTTAAGTACCCGTGTAGTACAGGGTATTATATTAGTGTTATAAAATAACAAAATCATTTTGTTCTAAATTGATCTAGTGCACCATTTGAATTAATTATCAATTTGTTCGCTATTTATTATTGGTGCATATTTCTCATACATAATTTTACAATTAAAATGTAAAATATTTTAATTTTTATTATACAAATATTAACATATTTAAGTATCCGTGGTATTATATTAGTGTTATAAAATACCATAATCATTTTGTGCTAAAATAATATAATTGTGGTTAATACGTATATTTAAATGTTAGTTTACACTACGGGTGTGATTGGTTGGGGTGATAAGGAGGGATATCACACACTTTCATACTATATCACTCTCATTATGTTGTTTGGTTGAAACAAGTGAAGCCCTTGAAATGTGGCATGGCCCGGTTTTCTATCCCACTTTTTCTTTATACCATATCCCAGCTAAAGGCTAGGATGTGGTTTCCATCCCATTTTTCATTGAAACTTACACAAATACCCAATTTTTTGTTTCAGATTTTTCTCAAAAAGTTGATTTTACTGATCGAAGAAATGGTGATAAATTTGTTTCCATTTCACATCGTCGAACTCTCCCATTGCAGCGACCACCGTCATAGTGCCGACACCACCACGACGGCGACCACCATCACCAATAGCATCTCATCTAATTCCCCTCCGCCAGATCCACCGCCTCGCTAGTTCCTTCCCAACCCCATCGACTTTCCTCCTTCGACCATCTTTGTTCGTTCTCCGTTGGGGTGACATCATCTGAATGCAGGCCTTGAGAGCGGAGGACACGTCGATTGTGATGGGGGAAGTCCCATCTGCTGTTTGTAGAGAGAGATGGAGTTTGCGATTGGCCGCGCTGGGAGAGGTGGCGGAGGAGTCGGAGGTCGGCATGTGGCGGAGGATAGAGGAGGCGTAGAGAGTGGCTATCGGGTAATGTCTGGCAGATTTGAAGGTTTGGCAGACGAGTTCTCTCTCGAGGTTGTGGAGGTGGTTGAATCGTCGACACTGACGAGGTTGTTGCAGACCAGTTGTCTCTCAAACTTTGAAGAAAAAATTAGGGCAAGATCAGAAAATTTAATTGTAAATAAGGGGTAAAATTGTAATCTTAGTTCAAAAGTTATAATTATTTTTTTTTGGGTACAATGAAGGAGGTCGAAGCCTTGAAAAAGCAAATAACGATTAGACTAGAACACGCCGGGGGTAAGAGACCCCCATGAGATCATGTTGGAGCCAACTGCCCAAACCAGGAGGGGGAAGTGGAACCCGATGAAACCCGACCGCCTCGAACGCCGCACGACTCGCCATATGGTCCGCCGCAAAATTTGCTTCTCTATGAACGTGTTGGACAGTGACCCTCCATTCTCGTTCCAAAAGGCTACGAATGGCCTTAACCAATGCTGTATGAGTGCCGAATTTGTCCTCTGTGCCGGTAATCAGTGTCGTCACGCACTGACTGTCCACTTCGGCAATAACTTGCCGGAACCCCAAAACCCACGCCAGAATTAGCCCCTACAGCAAATCCCACAGCTCAGCACCGGTAATAGTACATAAGCCAATGTTCATTAAAAAGTCGTCCACCCAATTCCCAAGCTCATCTCTAATTAAACCACCGACACTACTCATACCAGTGGAGGTATTGCAGGCTCCATCCGTATTAACCTTGATCCACCCCGAGCCCGGCGGGTTCCAACGGATGGAACGAGTGACATATGGATGCGCCCCAACCCGAGTATGAGCCAAAACCGCTCTACTATATGTATCCTTCAACCTATTGATCTCCAAAAGCTTCACATCGGTGCTCACACTTTTGTTATTAAAGATCCTGTCATTTCTCCAAAACCATAAGCGCCATATCACAAAGGAGAAAGTGCTATGCCACCCAGACATTGTCCCCAAATGCACCTGGACCAAATTATGCCGTAACCAGCTCTTGAGAGGGAGGGAAAAGAAATTCTTTTCAAGCTAAGTAGACTGAACCGGCGGCAGCAATCGCGACCAGGTCGTCCTGGCAGCCCGACAATCGCGCAAAACGTGCAGTGTCGATTCCTCAGCCCCACAGACGTCATATTCCGGCGATGAAGCTAAGTGGCGACGACACCGTTCCATGTTAGTTAGTAGCCGGCCTTTCGCAGCGAGCCAAAGAAATGTTCGAACCCGCTGAGGAGCTGGGGCACGCAAAATCAGAGTCCATAACGCTTTATCGGGCTCCCGAACCGGAGGAAATAACGACCTGTAAGCAGTACGCGTCGAGAATCTCCCATCCGGAGAATGGGCCCAAGCTATACGGTCCTCTCCTGCTTCCACTCGCGGTGGTAGGATTCCAGCAATTCCTAAGATCACCGACGACGGTAGGATACCGTGAAACTCATTCCATCTCCGCCGCCCAAACTCATCAACATAATGTGCTACTCGTGCATCCAAGTTAACCGTCGGCGAATCGTGGGCCAGAAAATCACGCAAAGGACCATCTGTCCCCGCCAGCGATCCACCCCAAAACGGGCTGTCTTTCCATCCCCGAGAATCCACCGCACCCCCTTCAATAATTCCGGCCAGAATTTACGAAGAGCTCACGCGAGCCCCGAGCCAATTTGACCTGGGAAATTCTTACGTCTATTAGAAGGGGTCAGCCCATACTTAGCAATAAGCGTTCGGACCCACAACGAGTTACTGTTTGTCATAATCCCCCAACCGAGCTTCATCAAAAAAGCTTTATTCATACAACGTAGATCCTTGATGCCCAGGCCTCCCTCGTCTTTAGGTTTGCACACCTCATTACAAGAGACTAAATGTACCTTCCTCTTTGCATCTGAGCCACCCCACACGAAGGCCCGACTATGGCGCTCAAGACCATCGGTAGTGGTACACGGAATCAAGGTCGATTGCATAGAATAAAAAGGTAACGTGCTCAGGGCTGATTGAGTAAGAGTCACCCGTCCTGCCAAAGAGAGAGATTTCATTCGCCAGCCATTCAAACGCGCCTCCATCTTCTCCACTAAATGCGAGTACGTTCCTTGTACAGCACGTCCATGAATAATGGGCACACCAAGATACTTTCCTAAATCCGTCGTCGCCTTGAAATGCATCTGGTCGGCCAAGCGATGTTGCTCCTACATAATCACATTATTGGAGAAGTACACTAACGTTTTGGCCGAGCTCACTTTGAGGCCCGAAAGATGGCAAAATGATCAAGAACAAGCTTCAAGGTTAACACCTGATCGTCTGTGGCTTTCAAGAATAAAAGAAGGTCGTCGGCAAACATAAGAAAAGGAACCTCAACAGCCCCGCGGCCTACCGAAATTGGTCGCCACTTTTGCTCGCCGACCGACTGACAGATGAGCTGCGCCAATCTTTCCATGCACAGGACAAAGAGGTATGGGGAGATAGGGTCTCCTTGCCGAACACCACGGGCGGGTAGGAGAGAACTCTTCCCCACTCGAACCGTTCCATAGTAAGGACATCGAAGCCGAACTAATACAAGGCATAATAGCTATAATTAACTGGTCAGGATAACCAGCCAGCCGTAATGTTTCTTCGATGAAGTCCCAACGCAAATAGTCGTAGGCCTTCTCAAGGTCAACTTTAATCACCATGTAACCCTTCGCCCCACGCATGCAACGCATAGAATGGATAAGTTCCTGAGCCACAACGATATTATCTGTGATATGGCGGCCCGGGACAAAGCTCGCCTGTGCTGGGTGGATCAAATCCGATAACGTGTGCTTCATTCGATTTACCAAGATTTTGGTAAAAAGCTTGTAGATAACATTGAGAAGGCTTATGGGTCGGAATTGTTTGATAGTGTTCGGGTTCTCGACTTTAGGAATAAGGGTGATCAAGGTTTGGTTCACGCGACTCAGGACCACACCATCCCACCACATTTTTCGAATGATGGTGCGAACCGATGGGCCCACAGTCTCCCAATTCTTCTGAAAGAACAAAGCATTTAAACCATCCATCCCAAGCGCTTTTAATGGCCCCATGTTCTGGAGGGCTGTTTAAATTTCCTCATCCGAGATATCATTTCCCATGGCCTCCAGCACAACCCAGTCACAAACGGAAATGAGGCTCTGGACAATCCCCTGTCTCGTCGGCTCCGGACCGGCAGTATATATACTAATGCAAGTGTAAGCGTCCTGGTCCGGTTTGAACGGATTGATCTTGGTCCTCACCGGTAGAATGCCGAAAACCTGTAAATAACTCTCACATCGGGGATTGTATCCGGTGAAGAGCCTCCGATGCTTAAGTCAGTATGTGTATGAGTATACTGAAGTGAAGTATGGAAGATAGAATGTGTTCAAGGAAAAAGGCTCACCCCCTTTATATAGGGGTGAGATACCTGCCCTAATAGCTGCCTGGATAAGGATGAGATGGCTGCCCAAACTGCCCGTCCGTACTCTGGCATGCCGCGCACATGTCAGAGGTGGCGCGGGGCGTTGGGAGCTGTCAGAGGTGGTTATCGCTATCACCCAATACATTGTCGACACGTGTTCCCCCAGCACATGGGGTAAATATTCTCTGGAGATTTCAGTTAGAGGCTCTTACGTGCGCCTACGGTACACGCGCCCACAACTAGGTCGACTGTGGGTTCCTCGAAGTGATCGACCTGCAGAGGTCGAGTAGTTTGCTCGATCATGGGTCTAGTCGAGCGATGGATTGCTCGATCATTAGTCTGGTCGAGCAATGGATTGCTCGATCATTAGTCTGGTCGATTCCCTGAATGTTCGATCTTCCCGCCTTTTGGCTTGGCTCCCTCATGGTTTAACCTTCTCGACCGGCCCAGCAGACCGATTTAGCTTTGTGTATATAATATCCCATATCATCTAGTCCCCCCCACTCTGGTCGAGTCTGGACGACTCGATCTAAGAGTGAATTGGTATTTATCGACCTACCCGATGATTCGTCATTCAATATCGACCAGATAATGGGTTTCCCGCTCACATTTTCAAATAATTTCCCATTAATTGCCAGAAGTAAAGTTGTCCTTTCCACCGCGCCTGCTTTTCTGCCACGCGTCGTATCTGCCGCATGTGTCAGGCGCTTCAATGATGACACCTCTTCGCATAACGTGCCTGCCTTGAGTTCCGTGCAAATTAATGCCCATCACCATACGATTTGCCTTTGATCTAACGGCCATCATCTTCTCTCCCCTTTAGCTTTCCCACATATAAATTCAACCCTTAGCCAATTTTCCGACTTTTTTCCACCTTCGCAACTTTCGAATTCCTCTGTACCCAAAATTCTCTTCTGCAAAAAACCCTCACTTTGTCGGCGATTTCTCCTGCGTTCTTTCGAACTTCCAACACTCGTTGATCCACGGTTATGAGTAAGTCTCTCCACACTTGAATTTGTATTCTTTGTAGTTCTATTTTGTGTATTCTTGGATTTTCAATTTTGGGTATCCTTGATTTGTCTGTTGAATCATTTTGAATTGGCGTATCTTGTGTTGAATTTGTACTTGGAATACTCTTGTCTGCTTATTGGATGTTGTGGATTTTGTTTCTCCTCTGAAAATTTTTGAAATATCCACTCCCATACCTTCAGAATTCTTCTTCTGGCTTTTGGGTTGCCCTTCTCTGAAAACCCTAATTTTTATTTTCCCCCCTTTCTTCCTTGCGTCGGCTTCTTTTTGATATTGCTCTTTTTTGTCTTTGTTTTGATTTTCTTTTCAGACTCTGAGACCTCCTCTGATTCGGTTGAAATACTGCCCTCTGCGCTCGAAGCTGTTCCCCTCTCTATCCTTCGCCCCGGCGATACAGTTCCTACCCGTGTTTTCACAGCCCGCGTCGCTTCTTCAAATTCCAGGGATACCATGGATAACATTCCCCTCCGCAACCGTCGACCTCCTCTTGGTGCACTAGACGAGCCAGAGGAGGACGAGGTTATTTCTCCGTAGCCAACTGCTCCTCCCCCTTCAAATTCTCCCCCTGAACAGTCCTCGACCAAAAAACTTTCCAAGCGCTCATCTTCTACTTCCCTTTCTCATCCCTGGTTTAACCCTAAAAAAATCGGCCAACCTCTTGGTTGGGCGTTCATTAGATCTTCCCCCTCCGACCGGTATGATCATCCTCCGCAAGACTGTTACCCTTTTTTCGAGGTCCAGTTTAAGCACGGGTTACGTTTTCCATTGAACCGTGATATAATCCGCATCTGCGAGTGGTTCTCACTTACCTTGCATCAACTTTCTCCTAACGCCATCTGTTTCATCACGACTTTCATCATCGTTTGTCACATCCGTCTAGGTCGATTCGACCTAGACTTCTTCCACTATAGTTACTGCCCCTCTAAACTGGGTCGGGGTCTTTACTTGAAAAGCCGCAATGGTGCGCACTTCATTAATGACATCCCCTCCAACCTTCCCAAGTGGAGCGATAAGTTCATCTTCATTCGACCTGACGTCCCTTTACCTTGGCCTTCCATCCCTTGGGTCAAGGATGTTTCGAAAGAGGCAGCCTCGGCCCCTCCAGCAAACCCCCTCTTCGACCAACGGATCCATACCTGGAATTCCAAGACCGTTGCGTCTGAAAAACTTCTTTGTGATGACAATCTTCTTCACTTCTGTGGTCTACTTACCCACAAAACCTTCTATCCTCCTACGGAGGAGATTCTCAATCTTGTTCGCATTGACAACGATCCAGGTAATTCTCAACACAGTTGCTCGAATGTTTACTTGTATGCTCCTGTTTCTGTCGAAGTGAAAAACTGATATTAATCTTGGTTTCCCTGTTGTACTCGTGCAGAGGCTCCTAGTTTTAACATCCTCCTGAGGAAAGTTCCTCTGAAGAAGAAATCAGGGGCTGCCGCCGGATCGACCAGCGATAAAGTCGATGGCTCGACCAGCTCCAGCGGATCTCGGCCAGAGTCGCAACAACAATCGCCCCCACGGCAAACTCCACCGCCTCCTCCGCGATCGCCCCTGCGACAAACTCCTCCTCCTCCACCGCCGCCCGAGGGAACACAACAACCACAACAACAGAAGCAGCTACAACAACAAAAACAACAACAACAGCAACAACACCAGTCGCAGCAGCCCTTGCCGCCCAAACAACAACAGCAACAGCACCCATCCGCCTCTCAATCGACCACAAAATCCTCAAACTCCTCGAAAACCGTCGATCACCAATCTAAGACCGGTGATCGTCAAAGAACCGTCGACCGCCATCAGAAAGCCGACGATCGCCATCAAAAGACAGGTCCACGAAACTCCCCACCCAAAGCCAACCTTCAAGGCAGAACTGTCGATAAAGCCTCCGAGCCTAACACCTCATCCAAAACTAAAACCCAAGAAAAACTGCCCCTCAGCTCCTCCAAGATCGAGGCCCTCCAATCCTCCACCTCTTCGATCTCCGCCATTTCTGCTTCGATCACACTCTTTTCCAGATGCAACAGAGTGACACTTCTACTCCTGCAATCAACAAAGCTCTGAGCAATCTTCGACAATAGGTCTGCTCGACCATTCTCTCGTCGAGGAATTCGTATTAGTTCGAACGAATCAAACTCCTCTCTCAGCTTCTTCATCTCATCCACATATTTCTGCATCCGATCCTCCTTGACTTCAAACCCTTCTTGAAACTTCCCAACCACTAGTTGAGAATCGGAATGCACTTGCAATTTTCGAGCTCCTCCTGCTTTGGCTAGACTCAGGCCCTTAATCACTGCCTCGTACTCAGCTTCGTTATTGGATATCTTGAACCCAACTTTAGCCGCGAACTCCAAGTAATCGCCTTTGGGGGAGACAAGGAAAATTTCCAATCCTGCCCCGCTTCGGGCCACACATCCATCCACAAACAATTGCCATAATCCCTCTGACTCCTCCTCGACTTTCGTGCCCTCCTGGATAAAATCAGCCAACACCTGTGCCTTTATGGCCCTCCTTGGCTCGTACATCAAAGAATACTCACTCAATTCGACTGCCCACTTCACCAATCGACCAGAGACTGATGGCCGACCAAGTGTTTCTCCTAGCGGCATATTTGTTCGCACCTTCACCTTATGATTCAAGAAATAAGGTCTTAACTTTCGAGCAGTTACAACCACAGCTAAAGCACACTTCTCAATTTCCGAATACCTCATCTCGGCCCCCTGCATCACTCTACTCATATAGTAGATAGGAAATTGCGCCATTCCTTCCTCCCGTAACAACACCGAACTCACAACCCTCTCCCCGATAGAAATGTATAGCACCAGCTCTTCGCCCTGCATGGGTTTAGCCAATAATGGGAGGTTGGCCAGCACCCCTCGCAACTCCTCGAATGCCTTCAGTGCCTCCTCCGTCCATTGGAATTTCACACTCTTCTTCAGCGTTTTGAATAATGGGCCGCTCTTCTCCGCCACCTTCGATATGAAACGACTCAGCCCCGCAATTCGACCAGCTAAGATTTGCACCTCTTTAACATTCGTCGGCGACTTCATCTCCATCACAGCTCGAACCTTCTCCGAATTGACTTCAATACCTCTCTTGGTCACCAAGTAACCCAAGAATTTTCCTGACCTCACCCCAAAAGAGCATTTAGCAGGATTCAGCTTCATCCCATACCTACGTAATGTTAGGAACGTTTCTTTCAAATCTCGCACGTGGTCCAACTCCTCCTTACTTTTCACCAACATATCATCCACATACACCTCCATGTTCCTCCCCAATTGTACTTTAAAGATTTTATCGACCAACCTTTGATACGTGGCGCCCGCGTTCTTTAGGCCGAACGGCATGACCACGTAACAATAGGTCCCTCGACTCGTTACGAAACTCACCCGCTTCCAGTCCTCTCTCGCCAAGGGGATTTGATGGTATCCCTAGGAGGCATCCATTAGGTTCAACAGCTCGCACCCTGCCGTTGGGTCGACCAGCTGGTCAATCCTGGGCAGCGGATATAAGTCCTTCGGGCATGCTTTGTTCAGATTGTGGAAATCAATTAACATCCTCCACTTCCCTTCCGCCTTCGACACCATCACCGTGTTTGACAGCCATTCAGGGAACTGAATCTCTTTAATATGTCGTGCTCCCAACAGTTCCTCGACCTCCTGCTCGATGATCTTGTACATCTCCGCCCCGTGGTGCCTTCTTTTCTGCTTCACCGGCCTCACGCTGAGGTCGATGTTTAACCGATGCTCGATCACCTCCACACTTATTCCCGTTAACTCCTCTGCTGTATAGGCAAAAATATCAGCGAACTCCCCAACCAACTGGATCAGCCTCGACCGAATAGGCTCTCCCAGATCCTTTCCGATCCTGAACTTTCTCCCTTCACACCCCTCGATCATTTGAATCTCCTCAACTTCTTCCCCAGGTTGGATATCCATTTTCTCCTTACCTTTCTCCACTTTTTGCTTGTCCTCCTTCGACCTCGATCCTCCTGGTCGATTAATCTTCTCCCCCTTCGACTCGTCCTGCCTCTTCGCCAATTGTTTGTTATTGCTGACTGTCGTTTGGTAGCAACTTCTCGAAGTGAGCTGATCCCTGGCAATCTCCCCTACGTTTTCGCCCACCGGATATTTGATCGTCATGTGGTACGTGGATACGACCGCCTGGAATGCGTTCAAGCTCGTCCGTCCCATGATGATGTTATAGGACGACTCAGCCCCTACAACCACAAATCACACCATGCGCACCTTCCTCAACTCTCCTGATCCCAATGCCACGGGCAAACTGACCTCTCCCATCGGCATAACTTCTCCCCCATTAAAGCCGTAAAGTGCCGTGGTCACCGGTTTCAGCTCCATATTCAGCTCTTTGTTAATCTGCACAAAAAAATCGTAGAACATCACATCCACCGAACTCCCGGTGTCAATGAATACCCTCTTCACATCGAAGCCTGCAACCTCCACGGTTATCACCAAGGCATCATTGTGCGGCAGGACCACTCCCTCGGCATCCTCCGCCTTAAAACTTATCACCGGCATGCGGGCTGTAATCCCTACCTCCTCTCTCTTCCTCTTCACCGCTCGAGCGTGCTCCTTCCTGGCCCTATTTGAGTCACCGTCCGTTGGCCCACCAGAAATCATGTAAATCGTTCCTCTCTTCATCGGGGCCTCTCCTCCATGCCCTCCCTTATCACCATCTCTCCTCGGCTTCTTTCCTCGACCGTCTCGACCATCTCCCTCCTCATCTTTATCACTCCTTTCCTCTGAGTCTTCCCTACACCTTCTCCTTCCTTTCCCTTTCACCCTGTCATGATACACAAATTCTTTCAAATATCCCGCTCAAATCAGCCTCTCGATCTCGTCATTCAAATGTCTGCAATTCTCCGTGGTGTGACCATAATCTCGGTGAAAGCGACAGTAAATATCCGACCTAGGTCGAAATGGGCCTGTAAACCTCGTCTTCGGCCAAGTCACATCCTCACTCGACATCTTCTGCTCCATGGCCTCGAGGACCTCCGTCATGTCCTTCCTCAAGGCGTAAAAGTGTGGTATCTCTTGTCTCTCGAACAGCATCGGCCTCCTCTGCCACTCATCTCTCTTCTCCTTTTTCGAATCTCGACTCTCTCTTCGGGGTGATGCCCTCTTCTGCCCACTCCGTTTGGGCGAATTCCTCCTCGGCGATCTCCCCCTCTGCAGACTTTTCTCCTTTTTTGCCTCTGGTCGAACCACTCCTTCCAACTTTACAAACTCCATCTCCATCTCCTCCAAGTTAATATACTTCTTGCACCGCTTCAGCACATCCTCATATGATCGAGCAGGGGTTTTTGCCAGGGAAGTTCGACAAGTCCCTGCTCGAAGACTCCTTATCAATCCACCCGCCTTCACCTCGTCCGAAGCTGAGTGCACCTCTAAACATGTTTGGTTATATCGGGCAACGTACTTCCTTAATGATTCCTTCTCCCCCTGCCTCATCGCCATCAAAGTTAGATACGTTTTCTCCTGCACCACCGCGCTCGAATATTGATTGATAAGCTTTCCAGTAAAATCCTCAAAGCTCGCGATCGACCCAGGTGGAAGTTGATGAAACCAATCGAGTGCTCCCCCACGTAGGGTCGATAAAAATGCCCTGCAACAAACAGAATCAGAGTACCCATGCAACACAACCATATTTTCAAAGCTCCTCACATGCCTCGATGGGTCAGATGACCCGTCATACACCAAGTTGGTCTTCTTGAAATTGTTTGGCAAAGGAGCAGCGAGAATCTCCCTTGAAAAGGGATGTCCTCGAGCTCTCCTCTCTGTCCTCCCCTCCACCTTATCTTGCAGCTGACGCAACTGCTCCGCCATCCTCTCCATTGCCCAATCTCTTCCAGCTCCTCCTTCTCCATAACTGGACACATCCTCATCCTGGCTCCCGGCCACCGTGGTCGGCGCAGTGGTGGTGTGAGATGTATGACTCGCAACTTGCTGCACTGCCTGCGCCGCCGCGGCCGCCGCTATCCTCTGCATCTCCTCTCGGGTCATCGTCACCATTTGTTGGCCGGAGGCTTGTATGGCTGTCTGTAGTGGCACTCCTCCTTGCGCCAACACTCCTCCTTGCCCTTGTGTTAGATCTGGTGGTGGTGGTGGTGGCATTGCCGCTGCTGCTGCTACACAAACCTCCTGGGCCCGACTGGAGCTGGCGTCTCCTCCGGGAATCGCCGTCGTCACTCCTACGCCTTAAAGATTAGGTGCGGGAGTGATCAGAGTCTGCGATGGGCCGGAAAAACCCAGAGGAGGGCCGGGCCCCAATGGCCTGGTCGTCGTCCAAGCTTCGTCGAACGTCGACTGCAAGTTTTTAGGAATTCCGTCCGCCATAGCTGAGCTTCAAACACAACTTTTTGAACAAAGAATCCCCACAGACGGCGCCAATAATGCAAGTGTAAGCGTCCTGGTCCGGTTTGAACGGATAGATCTTGGTCTTCGCCGATAGAACGCCGGAAACCTGCAAATAACTCTCACACCGGGGGTTGTATCCGGTGAAGAGCCTCCGATGCTTAAGTCAGTATGTGTATGAGTATACTGAAGTGAAGTATGGAAGATAGAATGTGTTCAAGGAAAAAGGCTCACCCTCTTTATATAGGGGTGAGATACCTGCTCTAATAGCTGCCCGGATAAGGATGAGCTGGCTGCCCAAACTGCCCGTCCGTACTCTGGCACGCCGCGCACATGTCAGAGGTGGCGCGGGGCGTTGGGAGCTGTCAGAGGTGGTTATCGCTATCACCCAATACATTGTCGACACGTGTTCCCCCAGCACATGGGGTAAATATTCTCTGGAGATTTTAGTTAGAGGCTCTTACGCGCGCCTACGGTACACGCGCCCACAACTAGGTCGACTGTGGGTTCCTCGAAGCGATCGACCTACAGAGGTCGAGTAGTTTGCTCGATCATGGGTCTAGTCGAGCGATGGATTGCTCGATCATTAGTCTGGTTGAGCGATGGATTGCTCGATCATTAGTCTGGTCGATTCCCTGAATGTTCGATCTTTCCGCCTTTTGGCTTGGCTCCCTCTTGGTTAACCTTCTCGACCGGCCCAGCAGACCGGTTTAGCTTTGTGTATATAATATCCCATATCATATACCCTTGAAGAACTCCGTAGCAAGAGCTCGAAGGGTCGTAGGATCAGAGACAGTGTTGCCCTCGTGGTCTAGCAATTCCACAATTCGACTCCGACGTCTCCGATGTTTGATCTGTCGATGGTAGAAACTGGTGTTCCTATCCCCCAGCAGCGACCATTCACGAGTCGATTTTTGCACTAGAAGCAACTCCTCTTGCATTATGACGTCATCTAACTCCTCCCGAAGCTGGCTTTTTAATCCTAATAGCTGGTCAGTAATGTAAAACTGCCGACACCTTTGGATTCCCGTTAATCGAGCCAGAAGCTTTCTCTTTTTTTGAAAGATATTCCCAAACACCTGAAAATTCCAAGATGATGCTGCTTCTGCAAACTTGGTAGTCGCTTCGTCAAAGGGGAGAAACGGGTGCCACGACTCACATAGCATGTCCTTGAACCCTGGGTGTAGGAGCCATGCAACCAAAAACCGAAATGGCTTGCCACCTACTGGTTCGACTCCATTGCGGGCCCACCCAATCAATAGAGGGGAGTGGTCGGATTGGGTTCGTGGGAGAAGCCGAACCCGTCCCATATTGAATCTCTCCAACCAGGCTAAATTGGCTAGAAATCGGTCGAGCTTCTCAGCAACTCTACCATCTCTGCCATTGCGCACCCATGTAAAACTATGCCCGTCCGTGGGAACCTCCTATAAACTGTTGTGGAAAACCCAATCCGAGAAGTCCTGACTAATATTACAGAAGTTTGAAGAGCCACCCACTTTGTCCGACCGATGGAGCAGGCAGTTGAAATCACCCCCAATAAGCCAAGGCTCGCTGATATGACTAGCAAGAGTCCCCAGCGTTGTCCAAAGATGTCGTCGTAATGGTCCATTCGGGCTTGCATACACGAAGGAAATCAAGCACTCCTCTCTGTGCTTGGAAGCCCTGACATGGACCATCTGCCTGGTGAAACTCAATATGTCAACCTGAACATCGTCATTCCAGAGGATCCAAGTACCACCCGAGAATCCACGCGCTTCAACCCGAAATGAGTTGGGAAATTTACTATACCTCACAAATCTATCAGCATGCGCCCCACTAATCCGTGGCTCAAATAGGGCGACAATATCTTGATGATATTGGTGAGTTAAGGTGGAGAAGGCACCCCGAAACTCAGGCGAGCCTGCACCTTGAACGTTCCATGTTAATATATTCATTGGGAAACAAAAGGAAGAGAATCTCGATCATTAGGCAAGGTGCTGGACCTGCATGTCCAGATCACCCGCCAATTCCACACAATCGCTCGTAGATACTGGAATCCCGTCCAAATGAGATTGTCCATCGGGTTCCTCCGACCACGGATCAAAGGTGGCATTGTCTGGATTTAACGAGCCTAGGGTTTTGTCGCTTGGGAGCATCTTTTTCCTCTAAGAACAGCTTCTAACCTCTCATTTCTTCTACTTTAACCTTAGTTATAATTATTAACTCTCAACCAAATAAGTTAATGGGGTAGTTGAATTATTTAATAGCCTTTGATACAAGCAAAAAGATTATATCATGCCTAATCCGTCTATTCCAACCAATCGGACCCTACATGTTATAATTATAAGTTTTGCATGTGAAATGTAATTATTATTATTGTTTATACGTATAATTTGAGAAAAAGTTTTTTTTAATAACTGTGACACATTGAGGGGCTGATTGGATGAAATATTCAATTATGGCTGATCATATAATTTTTTTAACTTTAAATTTAACTTCAATTTAATTTAATCCAAATTTTATCAATATTATAAGTATAATTAAATGATATCACTCAATTATTCTCACGACATTAATTCTAATTCACTATTCATCTATCCAAATTTTCTTCACTTTAATCACTTATCTCTTACTTTTATATCACGTCCACTTTAATAATTATATTTTAAATATTATTTTAATACAAAATGAAAATTTCACCCAAACTAAATTCAATCATTTTTTTTTTCAAAATTAATTCACTTTATTGTATATCCAATTAAACTTAATATAGTTTACTGTAAACCAAAAAGTTTTCGATGACCACGGTAATATGGCACACAGCTAGTCCCACTGAAACCTAATTTTGTATGGAAGTGAGCTAAAGATAAGGAAGATAAGATAAAGATTTTTAAAATGTTTGGATTTAAATTTTTTACAAAAAAAAAAAAAAAATAAATAAAAAAATTGTTTGGGTGGAATTTTTGAAAAATTTCAAAATAATTTAATATGTTTACTAATATATTTAGGCAAGAATTTAGATGATTTTTAGTTACTATTTTTCAATTATTTAGGTTGCCTCTTTATGAAATAATAGATGTTATCAGAAGTTGTGATATTTCAATTATTCTCTTTTTTTTTTTTCGGAACGATAAAAATTTTATATATAACTCAAGACAGAAAATGAAGTACAATAAATACTGCCTACAAGTCCAAAGATAAAAGTGAGAGGCATGTAACACACTGCCTAGAGCCTCAACAAACAAACAAGAAAAGAAAAAGAGAACTAAGAAACTATGAGCTTACCCACTGCCTTAAATCCTAGCTATAACTCAGTAGCTTCACAACCAAACAAGCAAAAGAAATTAGTTAAATCATTAAGTTGTAGATACTGCATATGTTTCCAAATATCTCTTTGATTTTGTTGTAGATACTGCATATTTTCAACTGGGGAATTAGTTAATTCATAAAGCGTCTTATGTCTCAGGAAAATACGAATTTGTTCAAGCGGGTCGAGTCATTGAAACAACAGCTTGAGGCGGAGAAATTAAGATGCAACATACGAAACATGTAGTTTGATCAAAGGTATGTGGATTGTGGTGTAGTGATGATATGATTGATAGAGTGTTGATTGTTGGGTTATATGAGTTTTTCTTGATGCATGGTTCATTCGTCTAATTAATTGTTTAACAACAGTTTTATTATTCGAACTAGTCATTTCTTTTTTCTTGAGTTGTAGGACTCATCTTTTTGAGATTATTATTGCTTTTTTTGGACTATTTATAACTTA